TCCATCCCGATCCCGATCCCGATCCCGATCCCGATCCCGATCCCGCCCCTGTCCCCCCCCCAGTGACGTCATCACCTATAAATAACCCCCCGCTGCGAACGGGGGGGGGAGCGGGACCCCCCCCCAAAATCGCCCCTCTCGTGATTTCGGGGTGCAGGATGAGTTTGGGGTGGTGCATGGATCCCTTTGGGATGAGGAGCCCGTTCCACCTTCCCAGGACCCCCCAAACCCCCCCCCCAACCCCCGGGGAAAATCGGGGTCCGGGAGTTCTGGGGGGGTTCCGGATTTGGATTTGGGGAGAGGGGGGGTCCCCCCAAATTTCGCACCTGGATGCTGGCGGCGATCTGGCGGATGTAGAGCATGTTGAGATCCTCCAGGATCCGCAGCCGGCGGCCCCCCCCCACCTCCATCGGGACCCCCGGGACCCCCCCAGCTATTTTGGGGGGTTCCCCCAAAGCCCCCCAAGGGGGTCCCGCCGCATCCAGCGCTGGGGTGCAGTGGGGGCCACCCCCCCGCCCTCTCTACCGAGGTGGCTGCGGGGAGAAAATGGGGTTTTGGTGGAGACCCCCCCCCACACACACCCCGACGGGAATTTGGGGGGGTGTTTGGGGCCCTCTCTGGAATTTGGGGGGGCGCTCACGTTGTTTGGCCGCCCCCCGGCAGGGAACAAGGGGGGCGACTGTGCGGGAAAGGGCAGCGGGGGCGGCGCGGAGGGGGCGGGGACGGGGTGGAGGAATTTGGGGGGCGAGAAGGGCGAGATTTGGGGAGAGGGGAGAGGGGAGAGATGGGGGGCAGGGTTTGGGGGGTAAGGGGTCAGGAAAGGGGGGAAGGGGACAAAGGGGGGAACAGGGATGGGGTGCAGGAATGGGGTGCAGGAATGGGGTGCAGGGTTTGGGATACAGGGTTTGGGGTACAGGGAGGGGATGCAGGAATGGGGTGCAGGGTTTGGGATACAGGGTTTGGGGTACAGGGAGGGGATGCAGGGGCAGGGACGGAATGGAGGGTTTGAGGTGCAGGAATGGGGTGCAGGAATGGGGTGCAGGGTTTTGGGGACGTGATGAGGCAGGGTTTGGGGTGCAGGGAGGGGATCAGGGGCAGGGAGGGAATGCAGGGTTTGGGGTGCAAGATTTGGGGTGCAGGGCACAAGAAAAGACGTGGAGAAAATGGGGTGAAAGAGACAAGATGGAGTGTGGGGATGGAAAAAGGGGGGCAGGGTTTTGGGGGCTGGGCAGGGATTTGGGGGCGCAGGAGAGGGCGCAGGGGAATGGATGGGGTGTAGGATTTGGGGTGCAGCGAGGGGATGAGGGGTGCGGGGGAAGGGAAACCAGCTGGGGGGCGGGGAGGGGGTGCGGGGGAAGCGGTTCCAGGGTTTGGGGTGCTGGGGACACGACGGGGTGCAGGGTTTGGGGTGCAGGGTTTGGGGTGCAGGGTTTGGGGTGAGGTCACAGGACGGGGTGCAGGGTTTGGGGTGCAAGGTTTGGGGTGCGGGCACAGGACGGGGTGCAGGGTTTGGGGTGCAGGGTTTGGGTCGCAGGGTTTGGGGTGCGGGGGAGGAACGAGGGGTGCAGAATTTGGGGGTGCCGGGAACGGAAAAAGGGGCGCCGGGAGGGGGGGACACCGTGCCCGGGGGTGCAGAACGGGGCTCGGGGAACGGCACCGGAGGGGAATGGGGGGTGGGGGAGGCGCGGGAGGAGCAGACGGGGCCCCGTGCGGGGGAGGCGGGGAACGGAGCCCCGGTAAGGACGGACACCGGGACCCCCTCTCCCCCCACCCCCCGTGCAGCGCTGCCCCCGTTCCCGGTACCTCCGGCCGCTCCCGCTCCGCCGCGATCGCGCACAGGAAGCGGCGGCCGCCCCCGCCCCACGTCCCGCCCCGTGTCCCCCGTTGCCCGTGTCCCCCCCGCTCCCTCCCTCCCTCCTTCCCTCCCTCCCTTCTCCCAGGAGCCGCCTCCGTGTCCCCCCCGCCCCCCCCGCGGGGCTCCGGGACACCGGGAACGGGCGGGGGGCGCCCCCTGCTGGGGGAAATCCGCGGTGCCGGGGGGGGTGGCGGCGGCGAGACACCCCCGGGGCACCGGGACCGACACGAGAGAACCGGAGCCCCCGTGAGGAGCCGGTACCGGGGGCACCGGGACCGCCCCGAGAGAACCGGAGCCCCGTGAGGAGCCGGTACCGGGGGACTGGGACACCCCCCCCCCCACCCCGCGGGCACCGAGTGAACCGAGACTCTTCGGGATGCACCGGGAACTCCCCAAAGAGCACCGGGATGCCCCGGGATGATCCCCAAGTGCACCCAGACCCCTCAGAGAGTGCCCGGACATCCCCCGAGCCAACCGGGAGCCCCCCGAGTGAACCGGGAGCCCCCCGAGTGAACCAGGACCGGCCAAGTGCCGTTGGCGGTGAAAGACGGGGACCCCCCCCCGTACACACCGGGATCCCCCCCAAGCGCACCAGGAGCCCTCAACATGCACCAGATCCACCCCAGGATGCACCGAGACCCCTCAAAATTCACCGGGACCCGCGAGTGTGGGTGTACCGGGAGAACCGGGACCCCCGAGCACAGCCGGACCCTTCAGCAAGGGGGAAACGGAACCCCCGAATGCACCGAGACCCCCCCAGGGCACACCGGGAACCCCCAAAACGTGGCTGGGACTGGGTGAACTGGGACTCCCTGTATCCACCGGGACCCCCCCCGGTACCGGGACCCCCCAGACCCACAGGGACCCCCCAAATGTCCCTGTGTGCCACGGGCCCGGCACCGCCACGTGCGGGACTCCCCGATCCTGCTGTCCCGTCCCAGTCCCTCCCAGTCCCTCCCAGTTTCCCCCTCCCCGTCGGGTGCCGGGGGCGCGGGCGATTCCCGTTATACCGGATCCCACCGGAATTCCCGGCTGGGCCGGGGCAGCGGGACCGGACCGGCCGGGGGGGGCCCGGGGGGGAGGGAGCGGCCGTGACCGCCCCCGTGGCCTCGTGCCCGGGCTGCTCCCGCTGCTCCCGGTGCTGCTCCCGGTGCTGCTCCCGGTGCTGCTCCCGGTGCTGCTCTCAGTGCTCCCGGTACTCCCGTACCTGCGGGGCCGGGGCCGGGGGGCAGCAGCAGCCCCGGCGCAGCTCCATGTCCAGCGCTGACCCCTCCGCCACCGTGGCGCGGCTCCGCTCGTCCCGCCGGTACATGCCCGGGAGTCCCGGTGGTCCCGGAGGGTCCCAAGAGTTCTGAAGGATCCCGGGGGTCTTGGGGGATCCCGGGGTCCGGAGCCTCCCGAGGGGTCCCGAGGGGTCCCGGAGCCCCCGTGAACCGGAGATTTGTGGTGGGTCCCGGTGTTCCCGGTGCTCCCGGTGCTCTGGAGCTTTCCCGGTGCCCGGAGCTTTGCGGGGGTTCCCGAGTCCGCGGCAATTCCCGGGGTTCTGAGGGTCCCGGTGCTCCGGGAGGGGCTCCCGGGGTCCGGAGCACCGGGGCCAGGTGGGGAACACCGGGATGGACCCGGTGGAGATGCCGGGGTCGCCTCTCGGGGCTCGGAGCAGCCCCGGGATGGCGCGGGGAGGCGGGGCGGGGGAGCGGGCGGCGATCGGTGCCGGCGGCTCCTGGCACGGGCGGGACAATGGCCCGGGGACACGGCGGGGGACAATGGGTGACACATCTGTGACCGTGTGACATCGCTGTGCCGCGCGTGTCCCCGCAGGGAATCCCAAAACCCCGCAGGGAATCCCCAAAATCCCGCAGCGGGAGGGTGGGAAGGGGAAATCAGAGATGTCGCGGTGCCACCTGCGGAGGTGACACACGCCAGGGTGACCCGTCCCTGGGGGGATTGTCACCTCCGTGGGATGCGGGTTTTTATGTGGATGGATGGGATCCACACTCAGATGGGAGATTTGGGTGGATATTTGAGAGATTTGGGTGGGTAATTGAGAGGTTTTGGTGGATATTTGAGATTTTTGGGTGGGTATTTGAAGGGTTTGTGCGGATATTTGAGATTTTTGGGTGGGTATTTGAGGGGTTTGTGTGGATATTTGGGGGAGAATTTGAGGGGTTTGTGTGAATATTTGAGATATTTGGGGTATTTGAGAGTTTTTTGGGGATATTTGGATGTTTGGGTGAGTATTTTAGAGGGTTTTTTGTGGATATTTGAGATATTTGGGTGGGTAATTGAGAGGTTTTTGTGGATATTTGGGATATTTGGGTGGGTATTTGAGAGTTCTTTGGGGATATTTGGGTGAGTATTTGAGAGTTTTTGGTGAATATTTGGGATATTTCTTTTGGTTGATGAAGTCAAAGCTCCTCATCCTGCCCTAGGCACCATCCTTGCACCCCGGGGAGGGATTTTTTGGGGCTGGATGGGGATTTTTGTGTGATGGATGGGATCCCGTCTCAGATGGGAGATTTGGGTGAATATTTGGGTGAGAATTTGAGGGGTTTGTGTGAATATTTGAGATATTTGGGGGTATTTGAGAGTTTTTTGTGGATATTTGGGATATTTGGGTGAGCATTTGAGGGCTTTGTGTGGATATTTGGATGGGTATTTGAGAGGTTTATTTGGATATTTGAGATATTGGGTGAGAATTTGAGGGGTTTGTGTGGATATTTGAGACATTTGAGTGGGCATTTGGAGGGTTTATGTGGATATTTGGGTGGGTATTTGAGGGTTTTACGTGATTATATGAGATATTTGGGTGGGTATCTGAGTCGTTTATGTGGATATTTGGGATATTTGGGTGGGTATTTGACAGTTTTGTGTGAATATTTGGGATATTTGGGTGAGTATCTGAGGGGTTTGTGTGGATATTTGAGATATTTGGATGAGTATTTGAGGGGTCTGTGTGTATATTTGGGGTATTTGTGTGGGTATTTGAGACTCTTGTGTGGATATTTGAGATATTTGTGTGGATTGATGAAGTCAAAGTTCCTCATCCTGCCCTGATCTCACCTGAGTTCACACCTGAGCTCACACACCTGCCCTGGCCGGCCCAAAAGCACCTTGGGCACCGGTTTCCCCCCGGACAGCACACAATGTGCCCACTTCCAAGATGGCGGCTGCAGCGTCACCAGCCCCTCATAACGAGCAGCAGCCAAGCCGGGCGGAAGTGAGTTTGGCCGGAAGTGGGTCCGTCCCGAATTGGGTCCCCCGCGGGCGGATGCGCAGGGCCTGGCGGCGGGGAGCGATGGAGGCCGGCGGGCACGGTGAGAGGCCGCGGGGCCGGGCAGGGCCCGGGGGGGCTGCGGGATCGCTCCCCGGTGCGACAGAGTCCGCGGGGAGCCCTCGGTGACCCCTCGGTGACCCGTGTTCCCCCTCACAGGGCAGGAGGCCGAGGCGGGCGGCCATGGCGGCCACAAGAAGAAGCACAAGAAGCACAAGAAAAAGCACAAGAAACGGCACCACCACGAGGCCGGGCCGGCCCCGGGGCCCGAACCGCCTCGGCAGCCACGGCTGCGGCTCCGGATTAAGCTGGGAGGGCAAATCCTGGGCACCAAGAGGTGAGGAGGGAGCGAGGGGCAGAGCCTGGGCACCAAAATGGGCGAGGAGGATGGGAGGCAGGGCCGGACCTGTCCCGTGTGTCCCCCCAAACTCCTCTCTGTTCCCCCGCAGTGTCCCCACGTTCACGGTGGTCCCCGAAGGGACGCACTCGCCGTCCCCGCTGCTGGCAGGGGACGAGGAGGAGCCCAGCGTGCCCATCGAGCAGTACCGAGCATGGCTGGGTGAGCGACGGAGGGCACAGGGGGACATGGGGGGGCATGGGGGGCTCGGGGTGGGGCGAAATGGGGGAGCTCTGTGTGGAAATGGGGGGCTCAGAGTGAGGCGTGGGTGGGCAGGGGGTGCTCTGGGGGGGCTCAGGGTGAGGGCTGGGTGGGCAGGGGGGTTCACAGTGAGGGCTGGGTGGGCGGGGGATGCTCTGGGGGGTTCACAGTGAGGGCTGGGTGCTCTGGGGGGGCTCAGAGTGAGGGCTGGATGGGCAGGGGGTGCTCTGGATCCCCATGGCAGTGTGACCCCCACCCCCATGGTTGTTGCCATCAGATGAGGACAGCAACCTGGCCCCCTCACCACTGCCTGAGCTGGACCCCGAGAACTGCTTCCCTGCCCGTGAGGAGGGCGAGGAGGAGGAGGAGGAAGAGGAGGAGGAAGAGGAGGAGGAGGAACGGCGCTGGCTGGCGGCCCTCGAGAGGGGGGAGCTGGATGACAACGGTGACATCAAGAGGGAGGTGGACGAGTCCCTCCTGACAGCCCGGCAGGTCTGGGGGGACTGGGGGGGCTGGGGAGCTCCAGACAAGAGGGGAGCTGAGCTGATGGGGGGACTGGGGAGTCTCATAACCCCTGGGGCATGACTGAGGGGGCCTGGAAGGGTGGCAGGGGAGAGGTGGGGAGGGGCTGGGGGTGCTTAGGGAGCAGCAGAGCCAGGAGGAAGGGGCACTGGGGGGTCTCATAGCCTCTGGTGCATGACTGAGGGGGGCTGGATGTCAGGGCTGGTGGACTGGGGGTGCTCAGGGAGCTCCAGTCCCAGGAGGGAGCTGGGCTGAGAGGGCACTGGGGAGCCTCATAACCCCTGGGGCATGATTGGAGGGATGTGGAAGGGGTGCAGGGCAGGGCTGGGGTGGCTGGGGAGGGCTGGGGATGCTCAGGGAGCTCCAGACCTACAAGGGAGCTGGGCTGAGGGGGGACTGGGGACCCTCATAACACTTGGGGCATCACTAAGGGGGTCTGGGGGTGCTTAGGGAGCTCCAGACCCAGGAAGAAACTGGGCTGAGGGGGGACTGGGGACCCTCATAACCCTTGGGGCATGACTGAGAGGGCCTGGAAGGGATGCAGGGCAGGGCTGGGGTGGCTGGGATTGCTGCAGGAAGCGCAGAGCTGCTCTGGGGCTGAGCTGGAACCCTTGGGGCGTGACTCAGGAGGCCTGGAAGGGCTGCAGGAAGCCCAGCACTGCTGTGGGGCAGAGCTGGAACTGGGGGTACCTCCCAGATCCCCCCCCACACCTCTCTGACCCCCCCCTTTGTGCCCCACAGCGCGCGCTGCTGCACAAGCAGCAGAGCCAGCCCCTGCTGCAGCTGCCCATGGGCGCCAAGGCCAAGGAGGTGACGGAGGAGATGCGGGAGAAGCGCGAGGAGCGGGCGCGGCGCCGGCGGCTGCAGGCGGCCCGCAAGGCCGAGGAGAGCAAGAACCAGACCATCGAGCGCCTGACGCGCACGCACAAGGCCAAGGTCCGGGCCCTGCGCGAGCGCCGCGCCCGCCCGGCCCCGTGCCCAGTGGTTCATTACCGCAGCGCCGCCGACGGCGTCACCGTCTCCTTCCCCGCGGGCTTCCCGGTGCCCGCGGCCGCCGCCGCGCCGCCCGCGCCGCCCGCCCAGCCCTGCGCCGTGCCCGGCTGCGGCAACGCCAAGCGCTACAGCTGCGCCCAAACCGGGCGGCCCCTCTGCAGCCTGGGCTGCTACCGGCGCAACCTGCAGCTGCTGCAGAGCGCGGGGTGAGAGAGCTGGGGGGTACGGGAGCTCGGAGGGGGATATGGGACCTCGGCAGGGGGCTACGGACACTCTGAGGGGGCTACGGGACCTCACCAAGGGGCTATGGGCCCTCTGTGGGAGCTAAAGATTCTCTGTGGGGGCTACAGATCCTCTGTGGGGGCTACAGATCCTCTGTGGAGGGCTATGGATCCTCTGTGGAGAGCTATGGATCCTCTCTGAGGGGCTATGGACCCTCTGCAGGGGGCTGTGGGCCCTCTGTGGGAGCTAAAGATCCTCTGTGGGGGCTACAGACCCTCTCCAGGGAGCCCCAGACGCTTACCAGGGGCCTACAGACACTCTGTGGGGGCTGTGGATCCTCTCTGGGTGGCTGTGGATCCTCTGCAGGGGGCTATGGATTCTCTGTGGGGCTACGGATCTTCCCCAGGGGCTACAGACCCTCTGTCAGCTACAGACCTTTACCGGGGGCTATGGACCCTCCTCAGGGCGCTACAGACCTTCACCAGGGGCTATGGACCCGCTGTGGGGCTACAGACCCTGACCAGGTGCTACAGATCCTCCCCAGGGGGCTGCACACCCTCACCAGGGGGCTATGGAACCTCCCCAGGGGGCTACAGACCCTGTCTGGGGGCCTACGGACCCTCCCCGGGGGCTGTGGATCTTCCCCGGGGGCTACGGATGCTTTGCCGTGGGTACAAGGGCCAGATCACCCGGCCATATGGAATTCCTGGATTTTCTGCATGGACACAGCTGGAAGAGGAACCTGTAGGTCTGCACTGTGGGGAGCTCCAGATCGTCCACGTGGAGCCAGAACAAAGAGCTTCAAAACCTCTGCTGTGGATACAGAGGCTCTGGCCACGCCACCCGGAGAGCTGCACTTCCTTATGGACACCTGGAGCTCCTCCAAACGGGTGTGGACACCTGGGATGTGGAGCTCCAGAGGGCTCTAGGCTCTCCACTGTGGACACGGAGGGTTGGGGACCGGACCCCCGCAGGGACTGAGGGGATCTGGTGTGGCGGAGCTGATTAAAGGCTGTTGTTGAAGGAGCCGTGTGTGGGTCTGCTGCGATGGGGAGGCAGCGCGACCCCCCGGGCGCTCAGTGGTACAGTCCGACCCCTGCCCGGGAGCGTGGTGGAGTCCGACACCCCCGGAAGAGCTATGGTACATACCCGCCCTCCCCCGGCTGTGGAACAGCCCAACACCCCCCTGCCAGTGCGGGTTGGTCCGTCCCGGATGGGCGGGGCGCTCTCCGACATCGCCCATTGGCTGGGGCCTTGCCCCTTGGAGAGCGGCGACGCTGATTAGTCGGACGCTTTGCCAATCAGGCGGCCGAAGTGCTGTTTGCTCGCCAATTGGCTGCGCTGTGCCAAGTGTCCGCCCCGGGGCGGGCCGGGAGGCCGCGCCCTTCGTCGAACTTAGGACTGGGTCGCCATTGGCGACCGCTGCTGTCAGTCAGAGCTTGGGGGCGGTGCTCTGTCTCCGGTTGGTCTCTATAGCCGCCAATCATGGAGGGGGCGGGGCTCGGCTTCTTTGTCTCTGTTGTTGGGCGTGAGACTCAGGCAGACGGCGAGCGATTGGCTGCAGCCGGGCGGCGGCGGCAGCGCCGATTGGCTGTCGGCTGCGGAGCGTCCGCTGATTGGCCACCGGTGGTGGCGGGGGCGGGATTTCGGGCCGGGCGTGATGGCGGCGGCGACGGCCCCGGCCCGGGCGGCGGCGGCCGCGGGGGCCGCGATGGCGGCGGCGGCGGCCACGGGGCGGCGGCGGCTGCTGCGGGCGGCGGGGCCCGCGGCCGGGCGGGTGCGGGGCCGCGGCGGGCTTTAGGCGGCGGCGCCATGGAGCGGCCCGGGAGCGCCGAGGGGGCCTGGGCCGCGCTGCTGGGCCGGCAGCACCCGCAGGTACCGGGCGGGCCGGGGCGGGGGGGCCGCGCGCGGGGCTGCGGTGACGGTGCGGCCGTGCCCGCAGGCCCGGGAGTTCTGCCCGGGGGTGAACAACCGGCCCTACGTGTGCGAGACCGGGCACTGCTGCGGGGAGAGCGGCTGCTGCACCTACTACTACGAGCTGTGGTGTGAGTGCGGGGGGATCCCGGGAGAACGGACGGGAACGGGGACTCCGGGCGGGCTGGTGGCTCAGGGAGGAGCCGGGACCCCGGGGAGCTCAGGGGCTGTGTCGGGGCCAGGGGCTCCGGAGGAGCTGGGAGGACTGAGGGTCCTGGGAGGTTCTGGGGGATCCCCCCGTGTGAACGGGGCTTCCGTGGGCACGGGGGTTCCGTGTGAAGATGACCGCCCCGCTCCGCGGCCCCGTTCCCGCAGGGTTCTGGCTGCTCTGGACCATCCTGATCCTGCTGAGCTGCTGCTGCGCCTTCCGGCACCGCCGGGCCAAGCTGCGCCTGCAGCAGCAGCAGCGGCAGCGTGAGATCAACCTCATCGCCTACCACGGTGCCTGCCAGTACCCGCCCTCCTCGGGGGACCTCCGTGAGTCAGGGGCTGCTGAATTTCCCCTGTACCCCCCAAATCCACGGGGGGTGGAGACCTCAGTGAATCGGGACCCCGATGTTGCCCCCAGCCCCTCATACCCCACCATCTTCACGGGGGATCTCAGTGAGTCAGGACCCCCTGTGCCACCCCCAGGATCTTGGATCCCCACGTGCATCCCCAGCCCCTGTGCCCTCCATCTCCATCCTCTCGGGGCCATTTCCCGGTGTCCCCTCCGTGTCCCGGGTGTCCCCTGACCCCGCCTCTCCCCCCCCTCAGGGCTGCTGGCCTCCTTCAAGCTCCCGGCGTACGAGGAGGTGGCGCAGCGCCCCGGGACGCCGCCGCCGCCCTACAGCCCCGGGAGCCCCTCGCTGTCGCCGGGCTCCTCCGGGGGCTGCAGCTCCTGCTCCTGTGGCTGCTCCTGCGCCTCCTCCCCCAGCAGCTCCTCGCTCTCGGCGCCGGCCACCGACGAGACGGACCCGGAGCCGGGCCCGGGCACGGGGGGTGGCAGTACTGGCCGTGACTACGGCTCCAGCAGCACCGGCACCGGTGCCAGCTGGGACCTGCCCCTGCCAGAGGAGCTGCCAGCCCGCGGGGGCCCCCCCAAACAAGTGCCCCCGGACTTGTGTGAGGCTGAGGGACACCCCTGCTCCAACACCGAGGGGGGTGAGGGTGGGGCAGGCAGAGCTGGGCCAGGGGGATGCCCCGGGCGGCACCGGCGGCTCACGGGGGATTCGGGCATCGAGGTGGGCCGGGGTGTGGAGGAGGAGGAGGGTGAGCCTGAGGGCTGTGGGGGAGCAGGGGGTGGTGGGGGGCCCGGCTCACCTGTGCTGCCTGTCTGACCTCCCCCCACAGGACCCCCAACTGGGCTCTGGACTCATCAGGGAGCCCCTGGGGGCCCCTCGCCCCGAGTGACACCCACCTTGCAGTGTGGTGGGGTCCTGCTGGAGCCCCCTCCCCTCCAAACTGCTCCTGGGGCCTCCCCTGTGATCCCGGTGCTGCTGCCCGGGGGGGCCCCATCGCCCGGGGGGTGCCTGAGGCCATGGGGGTGGGTGGGAGGTCCCGGCGCGTTCTCTCACCATTAAAGAGATGTGGAAGTACCATCGAGCCTTGTGGTGGGTGCACTGGGCTGGGTGGGGACGCCCCCCATGGCGCAGGGGGTCAGCAAAGGTGACACTGTGACACCCTGACACAGGTGGCGAGAGGCCACAGTCATGGAAGTTTATTGCAGGGGAAGCAGGGGGGCTCTGGCACAGCCCCCCAACACCTCCCCTGGCCCTGAGCACTCCAGGCAGGCAGGCAGGGGGCACAGCGACCCCTCCACATCAATAGTCCTCAGCCATGGCCAGCACCACCAGCGCGGACCAGCCGGCGAAGGGGTGACAACCCTGCCCGGTGCCATCGCTGTCCCGGTAGTGCTCCCACAGGAACCCGGTGGCCTCGTACTGCCGGAACACGTTGGCCACGAGGTTTTGGCGCAGCTCCCGGTAGAGCCGCGCCGCTCGCTCCCGGTGCGGCCCCGCCGCCCGCGCGTACCCGTGCAGCGCCCGCAGCGCCAGGAAGTTGATGTTGACCCAGACCGAGCCGCGCCAGTAGGGGGGGTCGTGCTCGGTGTTGCGCCGCAGGTACAAGGGACTGTCGCGGGCCAGCGAGCGCAGCCCGAAGGGCGTCCACAGCTGCTGCTCGCTGCTCATGGAGCCCAGCAGCGCCGGCAGCCGCGGGGAGTCCACCCGGAGCAGCTGCAGCAGCAGCGGGAACAGGCTGACATAGCCCAAAGCAGCCACGAATTGCAGCCGCGGCGCCTCCCGCACCTCCCGCCGCAGCTGCGGGGCCGCCGGGGGCCGGCCCGGCACCGGGGCCGGGCGGTGCCAGCGCAGAGCCACGGCCGAGCTGTGGTTGCCGAAGTCGGCGAAGGCGCCCAGCTCGGGCGCCCAGTGCAGCCGGTCCAGCAGGTCGTTGTCGCTGAGGGCGGCGGCCATGTCGCGATAGGGCGCGTGGGGCTCGCCCAGGCGCTCGGCCAGCGCCGCCAGCACGCGGGCGCCCAGCGCCATCCAGCAGCGCAGGTCCAGGTGCCGCTCCTGGGCGGACGGGTGCGAGGCGCGGGGGTAATCGTCCAGCCCCGACGAAAGAGTCTTGGGGTTCAGGAAGCGCTCGGGGTCGGGGTCGCGGCCGCGCCAGCGGAAGGTGAAGGGCTCGGGGCCGGCCTGGGTGCGGTTCAGCCACTCGAACCAGGAGCGGACGCGCGGGAAGAGGCGGCGCAGGTAGGGCAGGGGTGCGTCGGGCAGCAGCCGCTCCAGCGCCAGCAGCAGCGTCGGGGGGTTCGCCGTCTCGCTGTGCTGCAGCACAAACTCGGGGGGCACCCGGGAGCGCGCCTCCTCCCCCAGGATCTGCTCCCGCGGGATCCAGCCGTCGGCGTTGAGGAGGTCGAGCCAGTGGGCCAGGATGTCGCGGGCCAGCGCGGGGTCCCAGCGGGCCAGCAGCAGCAGGTGGAAGCCCTCGTCCCACAGGAAGCCCCGCGGGAAGCAGGAGCGCGAGGGCACGGCCGTGAACAGCACGGACTCCATGCCGGGCACCGGCTCCTCGCGGTGCTCCGAGCGCAGCAGGGAGCGGCCGTGGAAGAAGCCGATCCCGCCCAGCATCTCGCTGAGCGCGGCCTGGGCAAAGCGGCGCTGCGGGAGGGACACCCCTCGTGTCCCCAGCCCAAAAGCGTCCTCGAAGCGTCGCTCGAAGGCGGCCGCGTGCCGAGCCAGCGCCGCGCTCAGCGCCGGCCCCGCTAGCCGCCCGTGCCGCGCCCCCCGCCGCGCTGCCCGACTCCAGCGTCACCTCCAGCACTGCCGGCGGCTCCAGCGTCACCTGGTGCAGCAGCAGCTGCCCCCGCGGGGACTCCCCAGGCAGCCCCCCCGTGCTGGACACCCCGAAAAAGCGACGGCGTGGTCGGCCCGGTGGGGAGAACACGGAGCTCTCACGGAGGCTGTGCCGGACCAGGTCGGTGAGACGGTGCAGCCCCGGCACCCCTGCCGCCAGGAAGTTGTAGCTGGGGGGGAGAGGAGAGTCAGGGATGGGGGACACGGTGGGGACATGGGGGCAGATGGAGGGGACACAGCCCAGACACTCACCTGGCGTACTTGGGCCCCTCTCCGCCCTCCCCGGTGGGCGGCAGGAAGGTGAGGGTGAAGTCCCCGAGCTCCTCCGCCGTCCCTGCCACGGCCGCCAGCCGTGTCCCGTTCTCCAGCACTGGTCGCAGCGTCCCCTGCCCGTCCGTGGCCACGTAGAAGAAGAGGGACAGGAGAGGGGCCGGGCCCTTGCCCTGGGGAGGAGGAAGAGGAGGATGACAAAAGTTCCCTGGCATCCCAACCCCTCTCCCACTTTTACCCCCTCACCTCCATCTTCGCTGTGACCCGCCAGCTCCAGTCGCCGCCGTGCTCTCCCCCCGGCTGCTTCACGAACTCGGTTCTCAGCACCAGCCCCTCATCGCGGATCTCCTGCACTCCGAAATTCTCCCCGTCGTGCATCAGCCACCCATATCGCGACACGCCGTCGTTCTGCTCGCTCGTGTGCCGCAAGTTGCCGCCGTGTTGGAGCCACATCAGTCCTGGAGGGGCGGGGAGGTGTCAGGGGCGGCCCCGCCGTGGGAGCGGGGCCGGACGAGCCCCGGGCCGGGGCAGAGCCCCCCGCGCCCCTCACCGGTCACCACAGAGCGCGGGCTCCGCGTCTTCATCCCGAAGTAGACGTGAGGCCGGTACGTGCCCCAGAAATAGGTGGGCGATGCGAGAGGCCCGGTGGAGCCGGGGGGGACGGCGGGGGGCGCGGGGTGGGGGGTGACGAGGCGGGAGGCTTCGCTCCACCGCTTCCACCCGGCAGCCGCCGCCGCCAGACTCAGCGCCAGCGCTGCCGCCGCCGCTGTGAGCGCCAGCGCCGTCCGGCCCCGCCCGGAGCCTCGCTGCGGCTTTTGCTGTTGCCGCAGTTTCGGGTCCCGGTCGCGGAGCCGCTCCCGGGGCCGTTCCCGGGGTCCATCCCCGCCGCGCCGCCGCCGCTCGCCCGCCATCAGGGCAGTCGCGCTGGTGACGGCAGCGCTGCGCCAGGTGCGGCCAGGCCCGTTCTGCGAGCGCCCCCTGGCGGGCGGGAGGATCGGACGCAGGCTCAAAAAGTGCCCAAAGTGGCCCCGAGGCGACAACGACACCGCACGGTGTCCCCGACCTGCCCTGCCACCCAGTCCACCTCCTCACGTCTGGTTTGTTCTGCCTGTTGATACTCAAAGAACACCCAGCTTTCCCTAGGATCACCCTGGAACCCCAGCTATACACCCGCAGTGCACCCCAGGACCCCAAGGGAATCCCACCCTGCACCCCCAGGACCCCTAATCCACACCAGTCTACCCACAAAAGTCCCAGTTAGATCCTGCCCACCCAGCAGCAACTGGTCCCAGTTGGAATCCCAGGATCACACCCCAGGAATGCCAGAGCCCCACACCCCAATGTCCCACCCGCAGACACAGCCACGGCCGTGGTGTTTGCAGGTTTATTGCAGCTCAGCCCTCGGGGCTGTTCCCCACACACGGCAGCCCTGGCACGCGCCAGCGGCGGGCACGGTGCAGCCGCAGGGACAGCCACTGCTGCTGGCTGCCCGGGAACGGGGACTCGGGCCGGGCCGGGCCCTCGGCCTCCGGAGCCACAGGAGGGGTCCCTGGGACTGGGCCCAGCCCCTCCAGAGGGTCCAGGCCAGGGAGAGGGTCCATGGATGGTTCCAGGGGGTGGGCGCCTTCGTCTGAGCCTGGCAAGGGATGGATGGGGTTGGGATAGGTTGGATAGATGGATAGGCTGGGATATCACATCCTGCTTCTGATCAGGGCTCCCATCCCTATTCCAATCCCATCCCTATCCTCGTCCCTCTCCTTGTCCCCATCCATCCTTACCTTAATCCTCCACCCTGTCCCATCCCATCTCCACCCCATCTCATTCCAGTCCCACTTCACCTCATCCCATCTGATTCCTATCTTATCACCACCCCAACTCATCTTTATCCCAATCCCACCCCATCCCATTCCCACCCCGTCCCCATTCCAATCCCATCCCTATCCTTGTCCCTCTCCCTGTCCACATCCACCCTTGTCCCAATCCTCCCCGCTGTCCCATCCCATCTCCACCCTATTTCATCCCAATCCTGCTCCAACTCATCCCATCCGATTCCTATTTTATCACCACCCCAACTCATCTCCATCATATCCCATCCCATCTCATCCCCACCCCATCCCCATTCCAATCCCATCCAGATCCTTGTTCCTCTCCTTCTCCCCATCCATCCTTGTCCCAATTCTCCACCCTGTCCCATCCCATCCCCATCCCCATTCCAATCCCATCCCCATCCTTGTCCTCATCAGTCTTTGTCCCATTCTCCCTATCCCTATCCCTATCCATCCATGTCCCAGTCTCCCTATCCCCATCCTAGTCCCAATCCTCCACCCTGGGCCATCCCATCTCCACCCCATTTCATCCCAATCCCACCCCATTCCCATCCCCACCCCATCCCCATTCCAATCCCATCCAGATCCTTGTCCCAATATCCCGATCCTTATCCCACCCTGTCCCATTCCATATTCATCCCATCCCATCCCATCCCATTCCCATCTTACCCCATCCTCACCTGCCTCATCCCCTCCCAGCCCATTCCCCACCCCACCTCATCCCAATCCCCTCCCATCGCAGTCCCCACCTCATTCCCCACCCTCCCAGCCCATTCCCCATTCCCCGCCCCATTCCCCGCCCCATTCCCGGCCGGTCCCGCTCTCACAGCAGCGCCGGAGGCTGCCCCAGCGGCGGGGGTGTTCCCCCAGCCCCCCGGGCTGCTGCAGGAGGCAGCGCACGGCCGTGTCCGTGTGGCGGAAGACGCAGAGGGCCCGCAGCGCCTGCCGCGCCTCGGGGGCCAGCCCGGAGCGCTCCGAGCACACCAGCTCCTGCACGGCCTCGAAGTCCCGCCGGAGCTGCAGGGCACCCTGCAGGCTGGCACGGGGGTCAGCGTGGGGGGTGCGGCCCCAGAACCCTCAGCAGGACCCCACAGAACCCCCCGACACCGCCACCCCACGCTGTGACCCGCACTGAGGTCCACTGCTGGCACTGCCAGCAGACCCCCGTGACCACCACCGGGACCCCCACAGAGCCTCTGGCACTGTCACCACCCGCTGTGACCACCACTGAAATCCTGGCACTGTCACCAGACCCCTAGGACCCCCACGGGGACACCATCAGCAGGACCCCACAACCTGTCACTGAGCCCCCTGGCCTGTTCTTGGACCCCCAGTACTGCCACTGGGACCCCTGGGACTGCCACTGGGCACCCAGGATGCCACTAGGACCCCCCAGAACCCCACTGGGACCCCTGAAACTGCCACTGGGACACCCAGCACTGCCACTGGGACCCCTGGAACTGCCACTGGGACCCCCAGAATGCCACTGGGAGCCCTGGAACTGCCACTGGGACCTCTACAATTGCCACTGGGATGCCCAGCACTGCCATTGGGACCTCCAGGACCCCACCTGGGACCCCTAGAACTGCCACTGGGACCTCTGAAATTGCCACTGGGATGCCTGAACTGCCACTGGGAGCTCTGGAACTGCCACTGGGATCCCCAAGGCCCCACTGGGACCCCCAGCACTGACACTGGGACCCCCAGGACTCCACTGGGACAACTGGAACTGCCACTGGGACCCCCAGGACCCCACTGGGATCTCTGAAATTGCCATTGGAACCCTGGAACTGCCACTGGGACCCCCAGGACACCACTGGGACCTCTGAAACTGTCGCTGGGACCCCTGGAACTACCACTGGGACCCCCAGGACTCTACTGGGAGCCCCAGGACCCCACTGGGACCTCTGAAATTGCCACTGGGACAACTGGGACAACTGGAACTGCCACTGGGACCCCCAGCAATGCCACTGGGACCTCTAAACAGCCACTGGGATGCCCAGCACTGCCATTGGGACCCCCAGCAATGCCACTGGGACACCCAGGACCCCACTGGGACCCCTGGCACTGGCCACAAGCTGTGCCCCTCCATCCCCAGTACCTGAACTTGATGCGGCGGGTGAGGATGTGATCCATCCAGGCCTCCAGGAAGGCCGTGGTGACCCGTGCCAGGGTGGGCACCTGGGCATCGTGGGGCAGGGCCTGGGCACCCTGCAGCACCTGCCCCAGCACCGCCTGCACCGCGGCCGCCGCATAGGCGCTGGGGGAGCTGGGCAGCTCTGGGGGACACAGGGACACAGGTCAGTGACCCCCCCAAATCCCCTGAGAGCCCCCCCAGCCCCAACACCCACCAGCGCGGGGCCCAAGCCGCCAGTGTCGGCCCAGAGGCATCGTCTGGTCAAAGATCTCGGCCGACAGCCGCTTGCAGCTGGTGGAGAACATCCAGAGCACGTCCCCGGAGAAGAGCTGGGACACAGGGAACATGGGATGACACAGGGTGACACAGGGTGACACAGGCGACACAGGCATCCTGGTGCTCAGACCACCCTCCCGCAGTCCCACCACACCTGGATGCTGTTGGCCATGTCACGGATCTGCTGGCACAGCTGTAGCTCCCACGGGGATCCCGGGCTGGGGGGTGGCTCAGGGGGGCTGTCCCCAGGAATGTCCCCTGGCTCTGGGAAGGTCCGGCTCACCTGCAGCATCAGCTGCTCTGCCTCTGCCTTCAGCACCTGGAGGGGAGCAGATGGAGTGAGCCCAGCCCTGCTGTGTCCCCCCAGCCCCCCGTGCCCCCCATGCCCCCGTACCTGCAGGTCTCCCTGGGTGAGCAGCAGGAACTGAGGCAGTGCCCAGGCCGCCAGGTACCGCCCGGCCCGGCCCGTCAGCCACGCGTGGGCAGCCGCCACCGCCGCCAGGCACCGGCCCAGCACCTGCAGACGCAGGCAGAGACCCCCGGGGGGGGCTGCGGGCGGGGGTCAGCACAGAGAGGACCCCCAGACCCGCCTGCCCCCCTCCCCAAACCCCTCTCACCATGCGGGCGGGCGGGCAGCAGGCGCAGGCAGCGCAGGGCCAGTGCCAGGGCTGGGAAGAGGCACCGGAGCTGCTGGGCTGTGCGGCTGCACCCCGGCCCTGGGGACCCTCCTGGGGACTCCAAGCACTTGTCTGACAGCCCTGAGCCCAGAGCACGGGTAAAATCTGGAGAAAAACCAGTCAGAAAGCCCCAACATCCCCCACTTGCACGCCACACCCCACCCCATATTGCATATCTAACCCTTCATAGCATACCCCACTCCCTCACCCCATATCCACCAAGTGCCCCACACTCTGCCCCCCACCTTCTATTCCAGAGCCCACACCCTGCCCCACACCCCACCCCACACCCTGCACCGCTCCCTGGGGCCCCCCAGCCCCCATACCCGTGTCCCAGCTGCAGAGAACACTCCGGCACAGCAGCTGCAGGCAGAGCCTCCCCAGCTCCTCCCGGCACTCGGTGGGCACGTGGGCTGTGGGGACACAGCGGGGCTCAGGGTGGCACAGGGACACCCCGAGGGCCCCCACACCCCCTGTACCCCCACACGTACCAACAGCCAGCGCACGGCTCAGCTCCCACGCCGCGGTGACAGTGGCACTGGGGGTGGCAGGAGGGGTGCCCAGGCTGTCCCCCAGCACAGCTCCCACATTCTCCCAGAGCAGCAGGCGGTACCGGGCGCTCAGGGTGGCGGCCACGGGGCCGCGGGCAGCGTCCAGCCACCGCACGGCCTTCCAGCCCCCTGCACTGCCCGGCCGCAGCCCCAGGGGCTCGGGGCTCTCTGACAGCACTGGCTGCCACAGGCTGTCAGCTGAGGCCACCAGCACCCCAAAAACGTGCCCCATCAGCTCCTCATCCTCCTGGCACAGTGCCTGCAGCTCAGCCGCCAGTGCCGGTGCTGCTCCAGAAGGTTCTGTGTCCATCCCCACCGTGTCATGCCCCGGTGGCCACGGCACCCCCACATCCTCCCAGCGGACGTGTCCATCCCTGACCTTCCCACTCTGGGGCCACAGGAGGGGCCGGAGCCTCTGGGCCACGGCCCGGCTGCGCTCGGCCGCCAGCAGCCGCAGCACCGTGCCCACCGTGAAGGCACCGGGCGCCCTCACCTCGGGGCCCAGCTCCTCGGCCAGCCCCTGCACCACGCGGTTGTAGATCTCCAGCCCCTGGAAGAGCTCAGCCAGGCTCTCAGCGGCCGGGGCGGGCGTACCGGGGCGGCCCAGCTGCCGCAGCCGTGCCTCGATGTGGCGCCCGGTGAGGCGCGAGGCCGTCACGGCGGGCAGCAGCAGCGCCCAGCGCACGTGCAGCACGGCCTGGCCCCGGCGCTGCGGCAGCGCCCGCAGCCACGCGTCCGCCCGCAGCCGCCGCAGCAGCGCGGCCCAGTGCCCCGCGTGCGCCCGCAGCTCCGCGCACAGCTCCCGCGGCGCCGGCACCGCCTCGCCAGGCGTGCCGGGCTCCGGTAACGCCAGCAGCCGCCGTAGGAACTCGGAGGAGGCCTTGAGGCGTCGAGTGAAGTCGCGGGCCAGGCGGAGCTGGTGGCGGTGCTGCAGCAGCGCGTGCAGGGTCGCTCCCCGCTCCGCCACGCGCCGCCGCACGGCGTCCTCGGAAAAGTCAGCGGCGCCGCCACCGGGATGGGGCCGCACGTACCCCAGGAATGTCTCGGTGCGAGGGTCCTCCCAGACGCACAGGCAGCGGCGCAGCGCCGGGAAGGTTTGCTCCAGCGGGACCACGATGGACGCTGCTTCATCCTCGTCCTCGTCGTCGTCCTCGTCGGTGTCGCCGCGCCGGCTCGACCACGGGGACAGCAGGCGGCGCAGTCCCGGGGTGACGCTGCGCAGCATGGCCTCTGCCCGCTGCAAGGAGCGCGCCAGGGGCCCTCGCGACCCGCCTGGGGACATGGGACCCTCAGAATGGGGCAGGGACCATGGGGTAGGGTGGGGACCCCAAATGTGAAGAACCTTGCTGTGGAACAGCACCCGCCCATCACTGTCCCACTGCCACCCTAACCCTGTGACCCCCAAGACCCCACTGCCCATTGGGGTCCCCACAGCCCGCCACACGCCATCAATGCCACCCCAAGGACCCTGGACCCCGTTAGGATCCTCCGTACTCCCCCCCCAGGACCACGCACCCCATCAGGATCCCCGCAGCCCCTCAGAACTCCCCCCCCCTTGTGCTCCCCGCAGCCCCCGGGGGTCTCACCGGGCTCGGGGGGGTCCCCGCGAGCAGCCCCATCGCCCGGTCCCGGCCGAGCCGTCAGCAGCAGCAGGATGAGGCCGCCCAGGCCGGCGTCGCCCACCTGGAGGGGTACGGAGGGCTCAGAACCCCCGGGCCGGGGCGAAGGGCGGGGCCACGAGTGACCCCCGCCCACTACCACACCAACCACGCCCGAAGCCACGCCCCCAGCCGGTTCCCGCTGTGGCCACGCCCCCGGTCGGGGCTCGCCACGTTTGGCCACTCCCCGGCCCCCGCCCCCTGCGCCGTTGCCATGGAGACGCAGCACAGCCCGGGCCCGGTGCCCCCCTGCCCACCCCGTTACCGGCCCGGCCCCGCCGCTGCCCCGGGAGGGGTGTCCGAGCCCCCCCCTGTCCCGAGCGGCCTCACCTGCAGGCATAGCTCTCCGCCGCGCCGCTCAGCGCCGCCGGCGTCCATGCCGGGCCATGCCGGGGGCGGCGGCAGCAAAGAGGCTTAGGCCGCGCCCTCGTTAATCCGGGGGGCTGGGCCAAACTGGCCGCCAGGAGGGGCCCGGCGTGAGGGGCGGGACGAGCGGCGGGGGGCGGCCGAGCCCACGGCCTTGGGGCAGGCGGGGACGGCGGGAGAGGATGAGGAGCGCCGGTCCTGTTCCGTGAGGGCCCTGCGGGCCGCCGTCCTGCCCGCACCCAACATGGCGGCGGGGCGGCCTCAAGCGGCGCCGTGACGTTGTTCCGGTAGGGCTGTGATGCAATCCCGAGGCGCGGCGGCGGCTCGTGGCGATGCGGGGCTCGGGCGGGACGCGGGAGCGGGACGGGCCCGGACTGGGCGGTTTCGGGCCTGCTCCCGCTGCCTGCCCCTGGGGCTGCACGCTGGGCCCCGCCGGCTGGAGCGGCGGTACGGACCGGGGCGGGGGGGGGAGCCCAGAGCGCGGCCCGGTTTCGGTTCCGCCTCCGCCGGCTCACGGCTGTTTGTGCTCCCCACAGCGCCATTCTGCCCCCGGCACCGCATGTCCAGCTTCGCCGACCTCCCGGTACCGTCCCAGTCGGTGATTAAGTGTAAGGAGGGGGATGTGTGTCTGCTCTGGGATGACGGTGAGTGCGGCGGGGGCTACCGGAGGTCCCCATGCTCGGGAATTGCCAGGGGAGGGGGAACGGCGTGGGGGACAGCCGGGATCCGGTGCCTGGGACTGCTCCTCACCCCGTTCTCCTGCCAGGCCCCAGCGTGGGTTACTACCCCCCGGAGATTGATGATGATGATGATGATGACGATGAGGATGGCAATTACGATTACGATGAGGACGAGTTCGCCGCGGGTTTGCAGTTCTTGGACATTCCCGTGGCGGAGGGAGCCGTTCCTTACAGCTACTGCGGCTTCCGCAAGTCCTTCCTGTGCTCGGAGCCGCCCCCGCCGCTGCACCGGACCCCTCCCACCGCCCTGGACGCGCGGCTGGACCGGCTGCCCACGCCCTGCCGGACCTGGCTCACGGCAGAGGTGGGAAAAATCCCCCCGATGTCCCCCAGGGGTGGAAGGGCTGGGTTGACATCGCCAGGGGGTCCCACCTCGTGGCCCCGGGGCTGTCCTGACTCAGGGCATCCCTCCTGTAGGAAGCTGAGAAGAACGCTCAGGAGCTGGTGGCAGAGGAGGAGCGGGCCAAGAGGAAGGCAGAGAAGAAGAAGCTGAAGAAGAAGGTGGGTGAGCCCTGGGAAGGGCCCCTGCCAGCTCCTGGGGATTGGGGTCACTGCCCCTTCTTGGGGTGCTGCCAGCAGGTCTCTGAGCTGGGGGCTGAGGCTGCATTTCTCTGCTCATGGCTTCATGTTCTTCCTTTTCAGAAACAAAAAGACCGAAAGAAACGGGAGAAACTGGGCCAAGAGCAGAAGAACAAAGAGAACACTGACCCAGTGAGTGACCAGTCCGGCCTGCTCGTGCTGTTCTAGGGATGCCCAGAGCTGGGGGGGGGCCAGCCAGCACCCCGTAGCCCTGTCACCTCACCCCCTCCCTGTCCTTGCAGAGCCCCCCAAGTGGCCCTGCAGGCACTGGGCCTCCCTCAGATGGTCCTGAGGAGGAGGGGTGCAGCCCAGAGCCCTCCCCGTGCCCTGGGGACTCCACAGTGCCCTCAGAGGAGCCTGGGCCAGAGGACACAGCAGTGACAGAGGTGAGGGACAGTGTCCCCATGGGGGCCATCTGTGGGTGGGGGGGTCCCAGGGCTCTGCCTGCCCATCCCTCCCTGCTTCCCCAGGAGGAGCTGGACCTGAGCTGCACTTTTGTCTGCAAAGCCCGGGAGAAGGCAGGGGTCAGGCTGCCCCTCCCAGGCAGTGACCGGTCCCCTGGGCCACAGAACGTGGAACCAAGCAGGAAGGTGCCTGAGAAGGGAAGTGGGGACCCTGTGGGGACACCTGTGTCCCCCCAGCCCCTCCAGTCCAGGCCACCCAGCCCCAGCACACTGGCACAGAGCCTGGCACTTGCAGGTCAGTGCAGGGACCCCCAGAGGGGCCAGGGGAGGGCACTGGGGGCTCTCCCTGCTTCTCACAGCTCAGAGGGGCTGTGCTAGGGGGACTGTCCCTCCCTGTGTCCCTTTGTCACCTCCCCAGGCCACGGCATCGAGGCAGCCCAGATGGGCCAACACTCTGAGGCCGTTTGGGCCTTCACCGTGGCCCTGGAGCTGAACCCCCAAGAACACCGGTGAGCAGAGGGGTTTGGGGTGAGCTGGGGGTGCTGGGCTGGCAGGGCCAAGCCTCAGTGACACCCCCACCTCCCCTCAGGCTCCTGGGGAACCGCTCCTACTGCCTGGAGAAGCTGGGGCGCTACGAGGAGGCGCTGGCGGACGCAGAGGCGGCGCTGGCGCTGCGGCCGGGCTGGCCCAAGGGCTCCTTCCGCAAGGGCAAGGCCCTCAGGGGGCTCCAGGTACCTGGGGGGGCTCCAGGGACTGGGCAGAGGGGCTGGGGTCTTGGGGGGGGGGGCATGGCTGGGTGAGAGGGGCTGTGGGGTTCTAGGAGTGGGTATGGGGCTGTCAGAGTTGTTGGAGACAAACTGGGGGGTTTGGGGTGCTGGGAAGGGGGCTGAGGGGTGCCAGTGGGTCTGGTGGGGGCTTTGGGGAACTGGAGGAGCTGTGGGGTGCTGTGGATGAGAGGTGAGGCTGGTGCATTAGGTGTGAGCTGGGGCTGGGAGCACTGGGCAGGGCACAGGGTGCTGCTGGGGTGGGGTAGGGCTGCACTGGGGGCCGTCAGTGAGGTTTTGAGGTGCATTTGGGCTGGGTAGGGGGTGTGGGGAACTGGAGGAGCTGTGGGGTGCTGTGGATGAGGGGTGAGGCTGGCGCATTAGGTGTGAGTTGGCGCTGGGAGCCCTGGGCAGGGCACAGGGTGTGGGTAGGGTGGGGTAGGGCTGCACTGGGGGGTGTCACTGAGGCTTTGAGGTGCCATTTGGGCTGGGTGGGGGGTGAGGGGTGCCTGTGGGGCCAGGCAGGGGTTGCAGGTGCCCCCTGGCCCCCAGCGCTATGCCGAGGCCGCGCGCACCTTCGAGGAGCTGCTGCTGCAGGACGGGGCCTACGCTGAGGCAGCCACGCAGCTGGAGGCCTGCAGGGCCCTGCTGCAGGTGAGACCCCCTTTCCCAACCCCCTGCCCCCTGTCCTGCTGTGCCCCCCACGCCTCACCCCTGTCCCCTCACAGCAGTGCAGCCGCCCCGGGGGTGTCCCCGTGTCCCCCTTCCTGCTCAAGGCTAAGGAGCCGCTGTTTCTCCCTGGTAAGGGACAGGGCTGGGTGGGCTGGGGGGACCCTGGGGCTGTCCCTGTGTCCCCAGTGGGTGCTGAACCCCTTTGGCTCCTCGGCAGCAGGATGGACAACCAAGAGCTGCCAGGGCACAGGTGACAAAACTGTGACAGGAAGCAGCGGCAAGACCCCAACAAAAGGCCCAGAACAGGCACCTGCTGTGGCCAGTGGCTGCCCAACACTGCCACCGAGCCACCCTGCCAGGTATGGGGGGTCTGGTGGTCTGGGAGGGGGCTCAGAGTGGGGCAGTGCTGGCTCTGATGACACCAGGATGGCTCTTGGCAGGGACTGCTTCCCACTCTGGGTGGGCAATATCACCTCCCACATCACTGAGAAGGTGCTGCGTTGTGCCTTTGGCCGGTGAGTGACCCCAGGACTGCTCCTCCTGCAGGACCCCAAACCCCTGGCACCCCCTGGTGACCCCAAACTCCCCAGCCCTGTCCCTGTCCTCATTCTCTGGTGGTTTTGACCTGCAGGGGATGCTTGGGGGGAGTAATGTCTGACTCACACACTGCCCCCAGATTTGGGGGTCTCTGTCCCACAGCTTGGGGTGTTTTTAACTGTTCCCCTTCAGCTTTAGGAGTTTCTGTTCTCCTCAGCTTTGGGAGTCTCTGTTTCCCCATCCTGGAGATTTGGGGGTGTCTCACGCTCCATCTTTGGGTGTCATTCACCCTTCCCCAGCCCTTGAGAGTTGCTAAACCTGCTGTGCATGTTTAAGAGTCTCTGACCCTCCCACCCTGCTGGTTTGGGGGTCTCTAATCCTCCACCTCCCCATTTAGGAATCCCTAACTGTTTCCCCCCCATTTTGGGGGTCTGTGCCCCCCAGGTTTGGGGAGATCCGCTCCGTGCGCCTGCTCCCGGGGCGCCACTGTGCCTTCATCAACTTCCGTGGCAAAGCAGAGGCCGAGGAGGCCTTCAGGACCATGCAGGTGAGCTGGGGAAACTTGTGGGACCCCCCTGCACCCCTCAGGGCACCCGTGCCAGCTGCCAGCTCCTTCTGTCCCCAGGGTGCCACCGTGGAGGGCAACAAGCTGTTGCTGCAGCTCAAGCACCCGGCCCACGCCACCCCGGCCCCCATGCCCCGTGCCAAGGGCAAGGCCACGCCCAGGGGGCTGCTCAGCTGACCCTGCTCTCTTGGGGGGACCCTGGCAGCCCCCCCTCACCTGCCTGGACCTGCCTGTGCCTTGTCCCCCACTGCCAGGGGTGGGGGTGTCTCCCCGTCCTGCCTTGGGGGTGCTTGGGGGGTCAGGGCCCACCCTGCAGCCCCTTGTGCTGAGGGGCTGGGCCTGGGCTGTTCCCCATGGCCCCTCAGGGATTTGCAGCAATTTGGGCTTTTTAATAAAGCTGAGCTTTGTTTTTCTGTCTGGCCTTTCTTTGGGCTGGTGTCACTCAGCCTCTCTGCCATCTCTCTTGGAGCCCCATGTCCGTGTCCACCCCGTGTTCCCCCTCTGTGTCACTCCCCATGTCACTCCAGCCCCGGGAGACAACAAGGGGGGGTCTCCATCCCCCTTAATGTCACTGGTTGGTGACAGGAGCTTCGGGGGGGGGGTGTGACAAGCGTGAGATCAAATACAATTTGATTAATATGCAAATTGAGGGGGGCAGGGGCGGCCGCAGCCGGTAATTAATCACCGGTTAAAACAAATTAATGCCTGCAGTGGGAGGTGCTCGCCCGGAAAAAAGTGGGGGGGTGGGTGGAGGACTCTGGGGTCCATATTAAGGTGTTGCCTTTATTGCAAATATTTACACCGGGGCCGATAGAAAATAAAATTAAAAAAAAAAAAAAAGAAAAAAATGGAAAGACGAACCAAAAAAAAAAGAAAAAAAAGCCGCAAAAGGGTGCACGGAGGGGGCGGGGCTGGGCTCGGCTCCTTTCGGAACCGAAGGGAGCGGGAGTGGCGGGGCCGAGTCAGTCCGAACGGAGCCGAACGGCGCAGTCTCGGCCGGAACAGACCCGAGTGAATCCGAACTCAGCCGAGCCGGCCCGAGTGGGTCCGAACGGAGCCGAGTGCACCCGAACAGAGCCGAACGAAGCCGAAGGGAGCAGTCTCGGCCTGACCCGACCCGAGTGAATCCGAACTCAGCCGAGCCGGCCCGAGTGGGTCCGAACGGAGCAGTCTCGGTGCCACCGGATCCGAACGGAGCCGAGCGCGCTCGGCTCAGTCCGCCACGTCGATCTCCTCCTCCGAGAGCTCGGCGGGCTCTGTGGTCCCGGGGCCGGTCCCGGGAGCCCCCGGGGGCTCGGGCAGCCCCGCCAGCTGCTGCAGAGCCGCGGGGGGCAGCGCTTGCAGCGAGGCCACGTCCGCCCGCAGCTCCTCCAGGTCCCGCTTGAGCTTGGCGCGGCGGTTCTGGAACCAGGTGATGACCTGGGCGGCGGAGAGCGCCAGCCGCGCCGCCAGCGCGTCCCGGTCCACCGGGGAGAGGTAGCGCTGCCGCCGGAATCGCTGCTCCAGCTCCCGCAGCTGCTGCGCCGTGAACGCGGTCCGGGACTTGCGACGCTTCCTGCAGGGAGGGCGCGGGCCCGAGGCGCCCGGCGGGGACGGACCTGCGGAGACAGCGGGGTTAGGGCATGGGGACCGGGGAGCAGCACCGGCACCCGCACCGGAGAACGAACCCGGGCGCCCGGCTGGATTGTGCCTGCGGCGGCAGGGCATCGCACCGGGAACGGCCCCGGGAACCGCGGCGGCACCGGGATGCCCAGCGGGGAAGGGCTTGTGGGGCAGGGTACCGGCACGGGGACCCGGACAGCACCGGCACCGCGGGCCTCGAGCGGCGGGGGCAGCGGCGTCGGGTCAAAGACACCGGTACAGGCACCGGGACCCACCCTGGGCACGGCGGGTCCCGGCCCGAGGGCACGGCAGTGCCGGGGCACCGGTAACTGCAGCCGCACCGGCCCCGCCGAGCCCTGCGGGTGCGTCCCGGCCCCGCCGGCTCCCGGTCGAACGGAGACGAACGGGTCCACATGGAACCGAAGGCAGACAAGCCGTACCAAAGCCGTACCGAGTGGTGCCCAACGGAACCGAGCAAACCAAACCGCGGCCGGTGCCGGCAGCCGGGACTCATCGTTCTACAGCGGCCGCGGTCGTGTCGGAGTCGCCTCCGTTGCGACCGGGGCTGAGACACCCGCGTCACCCCGGGCTGCTCCGGGAGCCCGGAACGAAGCCGGGAGCCTCGGTAGAGAACCGGGATCCTCCTTCTCTGCGATTCCAGGAGACCGTGCAGGTCCCCAGTTCGATCATTTCGCCTCTCCCGGCCCCGGTGCTGTCGCTGCTGCCCCCAGCGACCTCGAGAACCCCGGCGAGACGCGATCGCCACCCCGGGCACGGCTGCTCGCCGCCGGAGGGATCCCGATTGCTGTCCCGGTCTCTTTCCCGCTCCGGCCCCCGGTCCGTGCCAGCCCCGCCGCTGCCGGTGGCATCGGTAACGCGGCTCGCTCGGGCCGTGCGTCCCCCAATACCGGCGGTGGCTCCCGGCGTCTCTCGCAGCGCGGGCTCCACTCCTCGCTCGGTGGAGGAGCCCCGGGCGGTCCCGGCCGAGTCCGTGGCTCCGTCCCGGTAGCACGGCTTTACCGCGGTCACGAACACCCGATCGGTGCCGTGTTCGTCCGTCAGTCCGGTAACGAGGCTTCCCCTCCGCTCCCGGAGCCCCGATCGGCCCCGTTTCTGTCCGTCTGTCCATCCCGGTAACGGAGATTTACCGCTGCTCAGGGAGCCCTGATCGCTCCGTTGTCAGTCTGTCCTTCCGTCGCGGCGAAGAGGCGTTTTCGTACATCACGGAAGCCCGGGGCAGTCCCGGCTGTGTCGGTGTGTCCGTCCCGGTACCGAGGTTTTACCTGAATTACCGGCACCTCCATCTGCCCGCCAGTCCCGGCTCGTTCCGCCGTTACCGGCCGCCGGTTCGCCACCGGGTTTTGTTAATTCCGAGATCCCCGCCCGGCCGTGTCCATCTGTCCGGCCGGTACCGGAGCTTCACGCCCGCTCCGGGAGCCCCGATCGCTCCCGTGTTTGTCCGGCCGGCAGCGAGATTTCTTTCGTTCATTTTTCTTAGTCCCGTGTCTGTCCTTCCGTCCGGCCGGTAACGGGAATTTACCTCGGCCCGGGAGCCGCTATCGTTCCCATTTCTGTCCGTCTGATAGCCCGGTAAAAATTTTTTTATTTGTTTTCCATTTTTTTTCGATTCTTTTTCTGTCGATCTGTCCGTCCGGTAACGGGCCTTTTTACCTTAATTCCGGGAGCCCCGATCGGCCCCGTTTTTGTCCGTCTGTGCGTCCCGAAAAAGGGAATTTTTCTCCCCCGTTCCTGTCCGTCTGTCCACCCGGTAACGGGATATTTTCGGTCGCTTATTTCATTCCTTGCCGTGTCCGTCTGTCAGATAACGAGGGGTTTTTACCATAAAACCGGGAGCCCGAGGCGTCCCCGTTCTGTTTGTCTGTCCGCCCGTTAACGGGTTGGTTTATTCGTTAATCACAGGATCGCTGCTCTGTCTGTCTGTCCGTCTGTCTGCCCGCTATGATGAGTTCCTTAATTCCCGGAGCACCTCTCCGTAATTAGGGATAATTTTTCCCCCCGTTAATTACCGGAGTCTGGCTCCATCCTCGTTCATCTGTCCGGCCGGTAACGGAGGTTCGGTTACTCACGGCAGGGCTGATCTAGCGGTCCGTGTCCGTCTGTCCGAAGGGGTTTTCGTTACCGGCGTGAGTCGCGTTGTGCCCAGCCGTATCCGTTAATTACCGGCACGCTGCTCTGCCGTGACTCTCCGTCTGTCCGTCCCGGTAATATTTTTTTTTTCACGTTAATCACGGAGACCCTCTCTGTCCGTCTCGGTAAGGGACGGTAATTATTTTTCAGTGTTAATTACCGGGGCCTTTTTCGGTAACGTTTTTTTATTCATTCCCGGTGACGCCGTGCTTTGCCTGTCCGTGTGTCCCTCCGTGTGAGGGATTTTCCGTTAATCCCGGAGACACGATCTGTCCGTCCGTGTCTGTCTCTCCAACCCAGGAACGGATTTATTCGTTCCCGGAGGCGCCGTGCTGTCTCTCGGTGTCCGCCCGTCCTCCCGGTTCGGCCGAGCCCGTGAGATGTGGGGACGGTTCGTGCCCGTCCGTGAGCGACCGTCGGACCCCTCCGGTACCGGGCCGCTCGGGCAGGCCGAGCCCCGGACGGAGGCTCGGGGCCGGTACCGGGTTTCCGTTGCCGGCGGGCCCCCGCGCTCGGTCACGGTCACGGTCACGACTCGGCGGCGCCGATCCGCCGCCCGGTCCCGCGGCTCCCGGTAAAGCTGCCGGCCCCGGCGCGGCCGGTTCTCCCGGAGCTCCGGTACCTCGGTGCCTGTGGCGGCTCCGCGGGGCCGGGGCTCGCTCCGGTTCGCCGTGTCCGGCCCCGGGACTTCTCCGTCCCTTCGGACTCAGGCTGCCGCGTGTCCCCGGTGTCCCGGCCGAGCACCGGCGGCTTCTCGGGCCTCCCAGCCCCGCTCGCCCCTCTGGGACAAGGAGGAAACTTCCCGGGACAGGGGACGAGGGGCGTCCCTGGCCTCGCCACGGCCTCCCCACCGCCCTCCAGCCCCGCCACCTGCCCGGTGCCCGGTGCCGGTTCCCGGTGCCCGCCCCGCTCCCGGCGGAGCCCCCCCGCCCCGGCAGCTCCCCGGTACCTCCGGCCGCCTGCAGCATTCCCAGCTCCAGCCCCTGGAAGGTTTTACTGGCGAGTTCCTCCAGCGCCCAGAGCGGCGAGGCCGGGGCGCAACCGCCGCCGCCGCCGCGGGGCCCTGTCGGGGCGGGGGGGGCGGCGGGACCGGTCCCGGTCCCGGTCCCGGGGGGGCTCCCGCCGCGGGGACGTCCGAGGATGTCCTCGATGCCGAAGGGGGTCAGCGGTTTTGTGGTGTTGGCGGGGGGCGGGAGCCGGTCCAGGGGGCTCCGCCGGTGGCCGCCGACCGCGGCGGGCAGCGGGGGGGAACCGGCCGCCTCCCCCGCCGAGGTCATGCCGGGACCGGGACCCGCGCCGGGACCGGGACCCGCCGCCGCCGCCCCCCCCCCACCCCCCAGCCCCGAGATTCCCGTTCCACCGCCTTAAAGCCCCGGGATACCGGGAGGAGGAGGAGGAGGAGCCACCGACGCCCCCCCTGCCGGGGGGGGGGGGGACGACGGGACCGACCCCTCTCCGCCACTACCGGGGCGCAGCCCCGCGCCTCCCCCCTGTTGTCTCCCTCATTTTAACCCACCCCAGCGGGTCCCCCCTCCTCCTCCTCTGCTCCCTCCTCATCCTCACCGCGGCTCTTACCCTCACCCAAAAATTTATTGGCTCTTTTGCTCTAAAATGCCCCATAAAAGCATCGGGGCCGCGGCTGGGAGTGATTAAGCCCTTTTGG